GCTTACGTTTTACTACACGCCTTTGTAAATCTTCCAATCGATTAGAGGGTTCCATCGTCTCTTCAGCTACATAATTATTATCACACCACGGACGCAATATTTTAAAATTATCAAATGTATAAAAACATAATCACGTATCAAAAAAAGTAAAAAACGTAAAATATAAAATGTTTTCCGTATAAAGAACACTGAAAAAAGTCACTACCAAACTAACTTGCGGTTCACCATTTGAAATTTGAATTTAACTGAACGCTGTAGCAGTTATGATTTTACTAAAAATATTCTTGTCTCCCAAAAATCTGTTGGTCATATCTGCAATTTAAAAATTAAATATTATAAAAATTTGCCTACCTAAGTTTTCCTCGTCCCGTGCCTTCGGCACTGGACGGTCGAAGCCTGATCCCTTATTTTATGACTCCGTAAGCTCAGTCAAATACTGATATAATCTTACCCCAAGTATGAACAAGTCGACCGACAAAAGATAATGCATTATGATTTGTCATAACAGCGATATCCGATGTTTTCATTGACCGTCAGTCCACGTGGACTTGTCATAAGTTCGATGAAAACTTAATTGGTTGATTGTTCATATCTGGTTCATATTTTAAAAGATTATACCAGGTACGTCTGAATGTTAATATCGAGTGGAATCTGGAAACTTTATATTACTATACGTCTGACTCATTGATAATTTTACAGACTCCTGATAGAGTACCTTTTTGTTGAATGATTTTATTACAGATACATATATTTTTGCACAGTCTCACGGAAATACGAGGCTACTATGACAACGGTGGATACTATGTGAAAATAGTTCATATCTATTTCATATTATTTCTCGTTATATTTTGTAGTTCTACCTACCTATGCCAGCAGGGAGGAAAAAAATGAAATGTCGCTTCGGTACACGTGGTGTACCGAACATGACTTAACGAAAGGTAAAAATTTCTTCCTATTTCAGTTTTGCTTGGTTGGTTATATGTTGATAACAAAATTTCAGTGACGTAATATCTTGTCTGGTATAACACCTAACATGTTTTACATTTTCCTTTCTGGAACACTACCATTTTATATCGTTACTGGGACACGCTTCAGGATAGTGCAATAAAACAAATTTTTCATAATATTCTTTTACTGTGTCATTTGTTTTCAGTGTTACTTTAACAAAATAATTACACTTTAAAACTTTAAATTAATAACAAATAATATAAACAATTTGGATAACATACATAAAAATTAAAACAACCCAGCACACCAAAAAATTTGACATGTAGTTGAGTTCAGGAATAAAAATATTTTAAAAATAAATATTTAAAATAAATAATAAAAGCATTTCAAGCCTTATTTACCATTCAGAGAACATGATTTTGGAAAAGTATAAAAATAGTGTCGATTTGGCAGTTCTTACTACGTAAATATTCTATTTAGACGGCTGTCTAGAATCAAAATTTAGTACATAAATGCATTTTCGTTTTGTAAAAATAGATTAATAAAGAAATATATCTAAGATTTTTAAAAATAATCCAATATGTATATCTAAAATTGTTGTAGAACAATGTACATTCTTATACATTTATAAATCTTACAGTAACCTAAAAACTTGGTATCATTATAAATAACTAATTGATTTTCGTTCGTTGTTATTAAAAGGCAGTGTAAGTTATCTAAAGCGGTTCTGAATTTTTTTTTATAAAGTTTAAATATTATTTTATATGGAATTGTTGGAATGGGAATCACAATCAATTAACGTTTCCATTTCCAATGCGAAGATCGTTTTAAAAAAAATAAATTAAGAAATTATTAGATCTAACCTATCCTATCCACTATCAAATGCCTATGCCTATCCACTACCAAATATCGAAGAAATACTGTCTAAAGTTTCTCAATTCACTGACTTTAGGTCAATAGATTTCCTAAGTGCATATCATATTCCTATACGTCCACATGAACAGCTGTACATAGTCTTGGAAGTCGCTGACAAACTAAAAATTTTCTTATTCCGTTTGGTATCAATCGACTGGCTCATACGCACAGAAAACCTCGAGAGGACATATGCTTATCTTGATGACATCCGACAAATGACACAGCATCTTTGAGAAGGGTATTGGGTATGTTTGTGCATTATTCAAAATGGATTCCCAACTTTTCCGAAAGGGTCAACACATTAGCTCATATCAACATTTTTCCATTGAACGAAGCTGCTTCGTTCAATGAAAATCTGAAATCTATTGTCGCAAAGTCATTTGTTCACGCTATCAAAGAATATATGCAATTTGTTGTTGAAACTGACGTTTCAGAAGACTCAATTGCTTCTATCTTGAGTCAGGATTCCAGACCCGTTGCTTTCTTTTCACGATCGCTTAATTAGCGAGCTAAACCATTCTGCTGTGGAAAAAGAAGCTTACGCTATCGTTGAATCTTTAAAAACTGGCATCATTTTCATATAATAAAGCCTTATAGCAATCCAGAGTCATCATTGATTGAAAGTTTAACACCAAGCATTCCAGCAAGATCAAAACTGAAAAAAATTTAAAGATAGCCGCTTGAATTGGCACCTAAATATAAATATGACATAGTATATCGACCAGGAAAACACTACCAAGCAGCGGATGATTTATTGCCCATCTGCTCTTGCGCTACTACCACGATCGCAGGTGCATCAAAACTCAAGTCACTTCACACAGCACTTTGTCATTCAGGAGTAACACGTATGTTTCACTGGATAAAATCAAAGAATGTACCTTTCTCTCTCGATGAAAAGAAGACTATGACTCGTGACTGTTAAGTATGTGCTAAAATCAAGCCGAGATACTTTAAGAATGAGATACCATTGCCAAAGCCACATCTCCCTTTGAAGGTCTTAGTATTAATGTTTAAGGAAAAGTGCGTTCGAATAGCAATAATTGTTATATTCTTACGGTAATAGATGAGTATTAGATTCCATTCCCAAGAATTTAAATATCTTATTCATGATGTTTGGAATGCCTGCAATACATCCATTCGGATAGAGGGACGGAATTTCTATCAGCTAAGGTCAAAAATTTCAAAGTCCAGAGGAATCGCAACGAGTAGAACTGCTGCTTATAATCATCAAGGAAATGGTCAAGTAGAAAAGTTAAATTCTACTGTCTGGAAAACTGGCCTGTGAATCATATGAAGCACCTATTAAGGTGCTGCCTTTACTAACTATTATTAACAAAGAGAAGCACCGATTGAGGTGCTTCATTTACTAATCATTACTAATAAAGAATGTTAGTGCACACACGTCGATCTCCAAATGGGAATACAATACCATAAAGACTAGAGGAAGCAAATCCTGAGTACTCTTTTGTTACTGAAGGATGGACGGAATACCACAGTATCTAATCGTTAATAGGCTACAATTGGACGAGGTGAAGGAGAAGTACTAGATATACCAGGTCAATAATCAGCGTTGATAGAGGACCCACACGAGTAATACCACGCAAAATATCTTGCCACCAAGCGGATATGTATATATCTTCCCCTCCACCGGATTCATTACTCCTTGAAGGACCAACAAGGTGTTCTCAGAGAAGCTTATCGCCTGCTTCAGGAGTTCCCAGAAAATCTGAAAGAGTTCCGGTATGGTGTGGGAGAATGATGGGATAAAAACCTAGATTTTGAATATTGTAAACAATTTTATCCTGCCAGTGTTTGAGATAAGTCAGTATCACTGCCTAGTTATTCTCCTATTTTTTGTTTGGATTATATACATTTTTATGATGATTAAAACCTTATCATATAAATTTAGCTTTCTTCTTTATAGGAAAACTGTCTTTTTTACAATTGACATTTTAAATGACAAAACAGGTTATGAACACACTGTCAAAAGAATAGCAATATAACATGTAGTTTAAAAATGATTTTAATTGAACTTTGATACTAAATATTGCCATGCAACAAACTTAAAGCATAAAACAAGATATGTCTGAATTTGAAACTCTATACATAAAATACATTTATTTTATTGATTAGGTTACAGTACTACTCAACAGCCTTTCATTCAAAAAGAAGTCGATGATAAAGAACAAAAAATACCAAGTTTTTAGATTTTATCCAAATTACAATTTGTCAAGCGTACACAATATCCATCTAAGACTGGCATACATTAATTCTTAATGAGGTATTGTAAAAGTCTACGAAACTAGCTCACAATTTAATTACCATTCCCTTCTATATCGGTCGTAATATGTTATGGCTACGGTTTAGTCTTTATGTCAAAATAACATTTTGCCGTACTGAAGTCACAAGCTGATACAGCCTTACTGCATTATTACCAACAACATTACCGCTAACAGTCACACTATTTTAACAAAAACTTCAAAGGCATTATATCGTTTCGTTTAGGCGTAATATTCAGTCTTTATTTTCAAATAGATATTTGAAAGTTCAACAAAAGTATCAACAGAGTTAACAATAGTAAAATATTTTTGATTTACACAAAATCTATTATTTCTTATACTAATAAGGTCCTACAAGAAAATTAAAGGCTACATAGACGATAAAAAAAACATTTTTAATAGGTTATAGGCTATAATAGGATGAATGAGAAGTGATCTTGATTAGGAGTGTAATTAACTATGATAACTTAATAAAGTAGAAATAGTCAAACTCATAATGAATAATAGACAAGATGAAATACATAAACGATCTGAAAGAGGCAATAACATTTGTTAAATATACGTTAATACTATCTGTACTGTTATATGCTGTTAGCAGTATTTTGAATATAATAATCTCTGGCTTTATTTCGGCGAAATTACTGGATCCTTCTCTCAAGAGAACTCGTACCTCCGCAAATATGTCTAAGTTAAAAATTAAAATTATTATATGGTCACAGAATTAAACAATCAGAAATGCCCACTCTGCACGAAAAAAAAAAGTACGCACATCTCGTTCGCGCAGACGGAATCAGCCATCTTTTACACGGAACCAGTGCTGTTCAGTGACATTTTATCTGGTGAACATAGAAAAATTAACCGGTTTAATTTATTTACGGCAACTATAGACATAATATGCACTATTTTATTCGTACTTTTAGTTGAAGAATTGTTTAAATTATTTCAAATGTACTAAATTATTAATCTCTAAAAATTATTTATAAATTACAGTTCTCTCGTAGCTTGTCACAAATTTCTCAATTCGAGTCTGTTTCCCTTTAAAATATGGCGATCACGTGCTGACAAACTTCAAAGGCGTTCCATCTGAGAGTGGGTATTCTGATTGTTATTTATTCTGTGATATGGTTCTGAAACTATTTTCTTGTAGCATGTTTTACACTGAATCTTTTATATTTTATGAGGATAAACCACAAAAATTAAAATAACATGTTTTTACGTTTCAGTAAGTACTTAAAAATTATCGTTTTACAAGAAAAGTTATAAAATATAAAATGTTATATACAGGTTGTATCATTGTTATATTTTAAAAAGGTTTTAAAACAATTTCAGGACTGGAAGTCGAAACATCAAAAACACATAGTTTTGATTGCAATTTTTGCGATTTATTCCAAAAAATATCAAATACTCAGTAGAATCAATATAATATACGCATAAAATATAATTGCACATAAATGCAACATTGACAAAGCTTAAAATGAAATAAAGTGTCACGTTTAACAAAGAAGACTATATATAAATGCATATATGTTAGTAAAATATACTTTTCCCGCTAAAATAATGTGACTATATAGCTCCATACAATCGTCAAAGATGCCAGAAGGAACTTATAAAATCTCTTTACCAAAATTTGTTAAACAATTCCATGAAACTGTCATAGATCATAAATGTTATGGCAACGTCCAGGCATACTCTACCCAATCTCGGCACAGTTCCCTTGTAGAAAGCTAAAGGACCTTCGTTTTTCAGTATTTGCACGGCGCAGTCGAGTGTATTTTTGTACTTTTTCGCTTCTAAACCTTGCATACGGGTCTTCACAACGTCAATGGGATTGTTTCCGTATACTGAGCAAGCACCTGAAAAAATTATAGCAAATTATAGATTTGGGTAGGTTTTTAAAATTGTCTATTAGTCAGAGCATGTACGTCTGAATTAAGTATAATGAATAATCACACAACATGGCGATCAATAATATTAACGCACATTAAAAGAAAATCAAAGAAAATTTTTAATTACTTTAAGAAATTATTTAATATAAACTGAAAACTTTGCAAGTACCGACCATATGTGTACGCAATTTCATTCAGGAAACATTTAGGCAACGTGTTTAACAATAAAGCATGCTTCAGTAAGTGTTTTAATTGAAGAAACACGAAACGATAACAAGAGATTCGTAATCTCCCATGCATGGAACATGGAACATTGTACGCAGGTTTCCCTTGACTGGCGCACAGTCCAGTAAAGAAAACTGTTACGATTATCAGCTAATTCCTGCTTCTTTTCCGCAGTACTTTAGCCGTATTAGCGTATATCCGACCAATACACATTTTGACAAGAGCTTGATCGGGTATAGGGTCAGGTGGGGTAAATGTAAACGATTTTTGCCCTTTTCAACTAAAAATTTACATATTTTGTGTTTAACAGAGACAATTCTATATCTTTGATAATACCTATTTAGTTTCAGTTGTTTTACCCATTTTCTCGAAATTTCGTGTTCGTATTGGTTATTATAAGGGCTTCAGCTGTTTACAATTACCCGAACCAAAAATTCAAACTACAAAAATATAGGGGTAAATGGAAACATGCAATTCGTTGTCCTATTAATTTTACATTGAATTTTTACGGGGAAATTGTGAACGACAATGAAAGTGAACATTTTAAACACATGTAATGTACTTAACAATGATGTTCACAATTACTCCTATATACAGTTAGTGCACGCAAATGCCGACAAAAATAAGCTGAATCAAAGTTTATTTTTCGAAAACACTGACAGTGTCCGAAAAAATGTGAATTGTTTTTCTACCTTTCGTTGAAATTGTGGGCTCAGGTAGCAAGGCCTCGATCATTTCAAATTCAATTGACGAAATATCGGTTTCCTTTTCAACAAATTCAGTATCAAATTTATCGTTGCGCCTAATTCCAACGACGCACAGCAATGTCACCATTTTCTTCCTCTACGTTGCGTACACGGCAGACATATTCATAACATGTTTTTTCTGGTTCCTGCAAGAAATTTCGCTAATGTTTGGCTTAGTTAGATACCATTCTGGCAGTTTATATTCAACATCCGGAAGATTTTCTGCTGCATCGTCTTGGGCCCATTCCATTTCATTTAACTCTTCAACCGAGTCGTCATCATAGGGAACTTCATTTTCTTCTTCGATTGAATTGCACTCCTTATGTTTTCCTTTTAGTTTCTCTTTGGGAGCCTTTTTCAAATGAGGCCTAGATTTTCGTGCAGTTTTCTCCTCTTTTTAAGTTCTGCTTCTTTAAGTCGTTCGACAACTTCAATATTCGTTAGCACCTCTGCATACGGGCTTGTTTTAATCGTGGTGTAACTTTTTTGGGTTCTACAGAATTTCTGTTTGGGTCCACATTTAGTATTTTAACAATTGCTGATGAGAATGTAGCAACAATATCTGAAGCAGCAGTAATACACTTGACATCTAAAGTGGCAACATCTAAAGTGGCAGATCCAGGCGGGTCCTGCTGTACTCGTAGTGGTTCTGCCTCTGTGGGAATTCCGTCACTATTGTTTGTTTCTAGTTCGACTTCACTATGTTCGCCCTCAAGGTTATGATCTTGAATGGCTCTCCGCTGGTAGTCTTTCATTTTCAAATTAGTAGGATTAAATTCATCTTCTGGAAACTTCTTAGGATTGACTGGAAATACCCCTGTGGTTACAAATCCGCTTTTATTATTATACTCAGTGAAAGCTTCATTCCTTCTTCTTCTTCTTCAGGTTCCTTCTCCTATCGGAGATTTAAAATCATCATCGCTATTTTAATTTTATTGGCCGCGCTTCTAAATAATTCTAATGACCTGCAACCGAACCACTCTCTCAAATTTCTTAGCCATGATATTTTGCGTTGTCCTGGGTTTCTCTTCCCTTGTATCTTCCCTTGTACAATTAACCTAAGTAATACGTACTTCATTTCATTCATTCCACAGTTGTCCCAAAAGCTCAGTAAATTCTTTCTTCTGTAGGCGTTCTGCTCCGTGCCCCATATGTTTCTTATCATAAGCAATAAGTTTTTTCTCCCAGCCAGTTTTTACCGGGCCGAAAACACATTTATCCAGCGGCTGTAGCCTGTCTGTTAAATGGCTGGGAAACTTGACTAATACTATCTGATTTTCATGTGCGCATTCAATAATCCTCAAACTTATGTGACTCTTATGTCATCATATAACAATAACGCTTTCTGGTCAGGTAGATGTTTTGTCGCTCATAAATCCTTTACACACTTTACGAAAACAAGAGTGGAATCAAATGTAGAACTGGGGTTCATTTATCCATCCATTTGCTGACACAGAATAAACTGTGCCTGAGAAAGCTTCTTCCGAGGTCCACCTTGCCTCCACTGCACACCCTTTAAAAACAATGAAGGGTGGCAGAAAAGAACCATCAGCCGCAACGCAAGCCAGAACACGTGTGGACTCTCTCCCCGAACCACCAGAGACTGTTAAGAGAGTTTTTCCTCGTTCTCCAATCGCCTTTATTCTCGATGGATCCTTCCCAAAGCCACTTTCATCTGCATTGAAAACAAACGCAGCAGTATTAATCTTTTCCTCGATAACCACATTTTCCAAAATTTTATAGAAACTATAGATGACTTCTGATTTTCTCTGGTCTGTTCTGGCCTTTTGGAGATGTTCAGGCTTTTTGAAGGTCAACGTTTTATGTCGATTCATAAAGCTGTAACACCAGTCTAAGCCAGGACGGCCATCCTTAAATAGTGTTTGTAAATTACTTTCTTTGACAAAAGTTGCAATTAAGTCTCGAAGTTCTTCTTTATTACAGGGGTATCCCATTCGTGTTCGAGCCTTAAAACATTCTACTATTTGTTCTTCCACTTCGTCACTTAACACAGTAAGACGTCCACTTCCCATTTTGTTTTCTGGTACTTTTCTGCCCTTGATTCTATAACAGATAACTGCCAGAGGAACATTATGTCTCTGTGAAGCCTGACGATAAGTACAATTTTTGTCTTTTACATCACTAACTGCTCTTAACAAATCCTCTTGAGATTATCTCTCCACAGTTTTCTTTTTAATATATTTTCTGGGTATTTTTACTCAACCCTGGAATAAAATAAATACGATAAGTTGTTGTTTACAATTACCCCTAGTTCACATTTACCCCACCTGATCCTACTTTCCCACTGATCCACTTAAGTGCAAAAGCTTCAATGTGCATACATATATCAAGGGCATATATGCATCCCCTGTCAACAAGAATCAACATATCGAACAATGTAGTCGCTATCCAATAATTCGAAGGCGATTCGAAAAAACTGTTTATTGAAGATTATCATAATTAAACGGAATTGTGGAATAATAAGCAAAGGACTTCTACATAAAGTAATTTCTAAAAAAACGTGAGCTGAAGTGTGCCCGTGTGATTTCGCTGTTAAATAAAGGAAAAGTTTAAAATCGTGATCGAAAAAACCTTTTAATAGATCAATACAATTTTTTAAAATGGCTGCAATGTCTGTGATAGGTATCGATTTGGGAAATGAATCCCGTTATGTAGCGGTTGCAAAGGCTGGTGGAATCAAAACCATTACAAATGACTACAGTTTAAGGGCTACTCCATCATGCGTTGCTTTTTCTGGAAAGAACCGCATATTGGGAGTTGCGGCCAAAAACCAGCAAGTCACCAATATGAAAAACACTGTATATGGGCCAAAAAGGCTGTTAGGTAGAAAATTTAGGGATCCTCATGTCAAAAAAGAAATTCAATTTTTACCATATACAGTTGTAGAAGAAAAAAATGGGGGTATAGGAATTAAGGTAAATTATTTAAATGAAGAACATAAATTTTCTCCAGAACAGTGTTTGGCCATGTTGTTAACAAAATTAAAAGATATTGCTATAATAAGCAAAGGGTTTATCAAAACATACATTGTTTAAGTATTTTATGTATTCTATCGACTCAATGAATATTTTCTTCTTATTCTTCTCTTTCTTCTCTTTATATAGTCATGACAGTATGTTTTTCAATGTGCCTCCAGTAAGTTGTTCCATCGATTTCGTGGTCTTCCTACTGAACCCTCATTTTTATGCAGGGTCTGATTCTTCAAAACATTCGTAAAAAATTGTATTCAGTACCATAAAAATTTATTGGCAGACTTCTGATCTGTATATGTTTTTTTTGTGATTACTTTTTCACGTAGAATCCCAAATCTGCAATAAAAAAATATGATTTTCCATTTAAGATTTGAAAGTTGCCTCCGGCACCACCTTCAGGGTGGGGGTGCTGGATCGTGTTTCCACTGATAGATCGTGGTTCCATTCGATAGATTTTTAAAAATATTACTTTTTGGTTTTATATTTGTAAGTGTATTTCTAGAGATATTAGACCATTTACATAATTTTCCTGGGGCATCAGGATAAATCGTTTTCTCCGATTATAGCGCCATCTATCAACAATTCAAAAAAATGTTTCTTATAAAAGTTACTTATTTTTTTTTCAGGAATCCAAACCTGCAATAAAAATGCAAGTTCACATTTAAAATTGCAAAGTTGTCACCCTCCACGCTCTAGGGTGTGTGGCTGGGGGGTCGTGTCTTGATTTTCGTAAAAAATGTTAATAGTAAAATATTTATCTTACCTGCAAAAGCACCCATAGCACCTACAACTATCTTAGGAATCTTCTTATCACGATCGCCTCCCTTGTAAGCATCTTTTAGAGTCTCCATAACGAAGAATCTTATGGCCTGATTAGAACCCTGTTTAATTATCGTCGCTGTAACTCCTTTGTACACACCACCAAGACCTACAAAAACAAGACAAAATTATAAGAGAAATATAGATGTTTCTTACACTTATACTCTGCAATATTTTTTCTCATGCTGATACTTCTTTAACCGATTGTATGGATTTTTCAAAAATACGATACTATAAACATACATATGTAAATACAGAGAAGGTAACAATATATAATGTTTTCAAAGTAATTTTAAAATATCATTACGAGCGATTCATTATTTAATTTGATGAGTAAAATTTCCTATAAACATATATGATGAGTTTTTTCGTTGTTGTGATACGGGATATTGATCTTGTTTTGTAATAAATAAGTTCTGAACGCAAATTTGTTGGTGATGCCACTGGTTTTCCCAACAGTTTTGTGATTAACATTTATATGTGAATGCCTTGGTGGCGCAGAGCTGAGAGCGTCAAGAAACGTATAGGGTTTCTCATTATATTTTGACCCCCCACTTATTTTCCTGAATTTCGGGAATACACAAAAAGGTTTCAAATACCGACGTATAACAGTGTAGCAACAGACGAAATTTTGTATACAGGGGTTGCCCAATAAAATGCATCTTTAATATTTCAAATAGGACACCCTGTATTTTTCTTATAGCTCTGAGTAGCCCTGCATTTCCTGATTACAAATATATAACATAGTGTAGCATTAGAATTGTTCTATAATGACGTATGGTACTACTATACTATACTAAGATAAGAAAAAAATATATTTAGAAAACATATATTTATAATCGGTTCACAATTTGTCGCGTGCCGCAAAGGACACCCTTTCAAGTTAAGTTTCGAATATAAACTGAACAGACGAGGCACGTGGACAAAGCCGGCATCTTTATACTCATTATATTATTAAAAATCGGGAATTCCATCCTAATTATCTTGCAACGAATACTAACTTCGGATATTAATTCCAGGTTTTCTAGTAAAGTGATTAAACGCGAAGATTAGTATTGAGATATCCAAAGAGATAAGGTATTCTTATTTACAAAAGTGTTAATGGTTAAATTCTTATTTTTATTAATATAATATAATAACCAACATTAGCCGTGAAAGTTTTAATTGTTTTTTTCCAAATATATTAGTATTAAAACATCATTAATGTTAATATTAATTTTAATGAATAAACACCTCAGGAACGCCTATGAAGATACAAATTTTACGACTGTTTTATGACTTTGAGGCACATATTGTTCTGAGTTCTATTTTCTTGTGGCATTTTAAATTAATTGCTATTTAACTGGGAATAAGCCACAATTAAAGGTAAAAATACGTTTATTGACGTTTCAATTTCCACTTCGGAAATCGTTCTCAAAATACAAACAGTAAATTAAACAAATTGCCAATATTGCAAATACATCCTATATTAAGTCCAAGATATCTTAAATCCCGTTGTTCTAGAATTAAATGATCCTAGCGATTCCTCTGCGGAGACTTACCAATTAAACTATTTTTAATTCTATTATTTAATGGACCATACCCATTTAAAAGATCTTAAAATTCTTATAAATAAATTTCATTCATCCATCCTATGTTTGCAAGAAACACATTTCAAAGGAAATTCGTGTCACAATCTTAAAAACTTCATATGTCCAGACTACGATTAGGACACATCAAGATCACACATGATTTCCTACTACAAAAATAACCCAAACCTTTGTGATACGCGTGTGATAGTGATCTAACAGTACATCACTTATTAGTGGAGTGTCCTTTATACGCATTTGATAGACAATATAAACAATTTATTTTATTTTATATATTACTTATTCAAGATTTCTAACTTTCACTCTTGTTCTAATTAGTTTTGATTACTTGTAAACACGGTGCTATCAAGGTTGTGATCATTTGGTACATTTAATACTTGCCCCAAAGCTTAGATAATTTAGATGGGAAACACACTACATTTTTTCTTTAGTCTTATATAAAACTGAATTATTTTTTATTATGTAAAAAATTTAAAATAAAAGTTTTACCTTCTTCCCTGACGATCATCCTTACACCATGGAAAAATCCCTTAAACCTAGGCGTTTGAGATCTCTGATCGTTAATAAATTTCACTTTAACAGTTTCCATTGGGGTTACGGCTAAAATAGCTTCACAAACACCAGCACCCATGCCACAAAGTAATCTACCAGATACGCTAAGGGTACCATCAGGCCTCTGCATTTTGTTCTTAAAACTTTCAAAGGCACCAAACCTAAAAGGAAGAAAAGTATATTAGACACTTATATATAGTAAAATATAAAGTACACTTTTCCTTAAAAAAAAGCTGCAAATGTAGGAAAATCAAATCCACAATTCAAACATCAAAAATACAATAATGAATTATTCATTTATCTAGTCCTATAGGTGACGTTGCAAAACAGATATATCAGGGAATTTATAATAAAAAAACTCATATATTTTTAAAGGGTTTCTTAATCAATCTCAACCACGCAAAAAAAAGTAAACAAAAAAGCTAAACAAAAGCCAGTAAGAACCAACCTAGGCTTTCCCATGTAAGTTTTAGCTGTTTTCACTTAATTTTGTTTCCATTGTTTTGTACATATTTTCTGATATTTCAGTTTTCTTTTGTGGTGTTTTGATTTTTTGTTCTATCTTGTTTCTAAATCATTTTACCCTCTGAGCTGTGTTATCATCATCATGTATGAGTGCCACAACATTCCGTGTTGGAACCAATACTCTACACGATATACAACAGTGACTTCCCTAACCCACGAAACACATGCACACTTCTTTACGCAGATGACACTGCTCTCGTAACAAGATTTCTAGACGCAGATGTCTTTTGTAGATTTGTCTAAACCATCTAAACATCTAAAAATTATCTAAATCATGTCAATAGGTGACGCAGGAGATGGAGAGTAACACCTAACCCAAACAAAACAAATGATTCTCTTCAGACATCCAAATCTTAAGTTGGTTTTACACTACTGTAACAGCCACACCGCTCCGTGGCTGAATACCACCAAGTAACCATGACAGTGTCCACCGAGAGTGAACGGTGACAAGAGACAGATAGATATGTTTGTTGTAAGATCGAGGTTAAAAATTGTAACACATGGTTTTCTTTTTAATAAAATCGTGTAAATCAATATTCACAGTCATTACCTAACTATTTTTACTAATACCCACATCACAACTGGCGCCCAACGTGGGGCAAAATAGTTTAAAGTGTAGTTCGTACTGTGAAAATCGTAAAGTTTCATTGTGAACAGTAAAAAGTGTTTTGCTCCCGCCATTGTAAGGTGATTAGTGGACATTTTCACTTAGTTTAGTGCTTCACAACAATAAATCTACTGTGTATGTGACTGCTGTGGAAACTCCGCACAGACCATCCAAAAACATCCTGTGGGAATATCAATCTTCCACTACAGATCGTTCAAAACATCCTGTGGGAATATCAATCTTCCACTACAGACCATTCAGAAACATCCTGTGGGAATATCAAGCTTCCATTCAAGGGTATTTACAAGAAATAAGCAACAGAAACTGTAAGCCTAATTTTTATTACTATTTTTGTGTTAAACTTGCAATCACGGCATCAAACGATAAACACAGTTATTCGCTTAGGTCGACGACGGTTTTTAGTTCAAGCGAATCAACATCAGCAGAAATGTCGTCAGTAAATTTAACAAGCGAACAGTTTCAAGCCTTATTAAATACAATAGCAAGGCCTATTTCGGACTCGGGTAGTTTAGCAAAATGCGCTTCTCGCTTCGATGGATCAAAGGGGGCTGATGTAAAAGCTTTTATAGATGCGGTCGAGATCTATAAAGAGTGCAGCCACGTGTCTGACGCGAACGCATTAAAGGGTATACCCATGCTGCTAGACGGTTTCGCCGCCACGTGGTTTCAAGGTGTTAAAAATACGGTAAACACGTGGGCCAGCGCCATTAATTTATTACGATCGACTTTTGGACCTCAAAAACCAGCCTACAGAGTGTATCGGGAACTGTTTTCGACGGAACAAGATGCTAAAACACCGTGTGACATTTTTGTATGCAAAGCGCGCGCGATAATAGCTCAGTTACCGGCAGATACATTAACCGAAGCTACTCAATTAGATATGGTATACGGTTTGTTGCATAGGAGAATACGTGAAAAAGTCGCACGTGATAAGATCAATACATTTAGCGAACTCTTAAAAGAAGCGAGGCAAACTGAAGAATCGTATGAAAATCCGGAAATAAACATTAAAAACGAAAACGAATCAAAACGGGTACGGTGTAGCTTTTGCAAAAATCCAGGTCACGTGAAGGATGAATGTCGAAAATTGGCCGCAGCCAGAACCAGGGAAGCAGATTCTCGAAAATCTTCGGTTGAGCCCAAACCTAATCCTCCTCTAGTAACTTCTCGTACTAGCCCTAAACCAACCTTTTCTACTTCGAATCAGATTTCGTGTTATGGATGTAAGACTCCTGGATTCATTAAGAGTAATTGTCCAAAATGCAAATCATCCAGTAAATCCTCAGCAGTATCTGAATTTATGCTTGCTGAAACAGTTAATGTCGACCAACAGCTTGCCACAAACCTATCAACTAAACCTATTGTTCAGGTCACTATTGAAGGTCATGTAGGTCATTGTTATCTTGATTCGGGAGCACAGTGCAGTATTGCTGGCTCTCAGCTAAGAGATATCCTCTTGAAGGATGAGGTACCCTTTTCCACAAAAAGTGTAGACATGACTCTAGCAGATGGTAGGACTACTTCTACCACTGTTTTGGTATTTGATTTAGTTGTTATCTTACAAAACCACTCTCATAGCATTTCCTTAATTTCTGTGCCCACACACACAAATAGTCGTACCTTACTGGGGCAGACTTCTTAAGAAAAGCTAACATCATTCTAGACATTCCTAATGACTCATGGTTTTATGGTGATGTCCCTAATATCCCCTACTCATTTGCTCCAGATCCGGCTCAGGTCAGCTCTCCTTGCCAGGTCAATAGCGTTACTCTTGCTCATTTAGAACTACGAGCAGATGAAGGAATTTCTCTATCCTTAGAAGAAAGATCCAATCTTAACAACATTGTTAAGGAAAATTCTGATTTATTTGTATATAATAAAGACCCTACTCCATATGCTGAACACTCCATTGTGTTGGTTGATGATGTACCCATATCTGTTCCACCTTACCGTCAGAGCCCAAAAGGCAATTACTGCGTCAGGAATTAGATAAACTTTTGGCTCAAGGCATAATCGAAGAGTGTGAGTCCCCATATGCTTCACCCGTGGTACTTGTGCCTAAGAAAGATGGAGGTATCAGATTAACAGTAGACTATCGACGCTTAAACGCAATAACACGTGCAGATAAGTACCCTCTGCCACGTATTGAAGATATTTTGCATGCAGCAAAGGAAACCCGATTTATGACTACCCTCGACTTAAAATACGGTTATCATCAAATCTCTGTACGAACAGCTGATCGTGACAAAACAGCCTTCGTGTGTCCATTTGGCACCTTTCGTTACACACGCATGCCCTTTGGTATGTGTAACAGTCCCGCTAGTTTCCAAAGGATGATTGATAAATTTCGTGCTGGTCTTCAAACTCTGAATATCCTAGCTTATTTAGATGATCTGATAATATTATCCCCATCCTTCTCTGATCACATAGACGATTTGAAACAAGTATTCAACCGGATGCGCCTATTTAAATTATGTCTAAATAGAGCAAAATGTTCATTCGCCTGTGAAGAAGTCCAATATCTCGGACACATCCTTTCACCTTTGGGTATCCGACCAAGTGAAAATAAAGTATCTGCCATACTAAACATGACACCACCCCTAAATGTTACTCAACTGCTAAAATTCCTGCAAACATGCTCATGGTTCCGTAGATTCATCGAAAATTTCTCCCATGTTGCTAAACCTTTGTCGAATTTAACCAAGAAAAATGTGAAATGGACCTGGGGAGCAGAACAACAAGAGGCCTTTGAATGTCTGAAACAATTATTGTGTTCCGCCCCAATCCTACGACAAGCTGACTGCAATTTACCTTATATCCTTCGTACAGATGCTAGCAATTATGCTTTGGGGGCATGTCTTTTGCAGGGGGAGAAAGAGAACGAACGACCTGTAGAGTATGCTTCGAGACTCCTGACTCCTGCTGAACAAATCTATAGCACTACAGAACGAGAAGCTCTTGCTGTGGTTTGGGCAGTGAAGAAATTTCGAGGATACTTAGAAGGCGCTACTACCATAGTGCAAAGTGATCACCAAGCCTTAAAATGGCTAATGACCTTAAAGTCCCCTACTGGACGGTTAGCTCGATGGGCTCTAGAGCTCATGCCATATGACCTAAAAATAGAATATATCACAGGAAGAAAAAATGTAATCGCAGATACTCTATCAAGGCCTCCCATGACAGAAGTTCCCATCATAGCTGAAGTTCATCTAGTAAGAGTAGATTTTCCAACTCTTAGTGTTGCTGATGTTCGAGAAGAGCAGCTTAATGATCCAGATGTTGCCAAGATTATTAGATGTTTAGAAGATCCCTCTTCTGACACAAGCGTAGATTTCAAGAGGTGGGCAGAAAGAGGATATATCATGAACAATGGGATATTATACCGTTATACTCCTGAAGTAGATGAAGAAGAGCCCCAATTGGTAGTGGCTAGTACACGTATTCCTCACATACTGCATGAGTACCATGATTCCGCTACTGCTGGTCATTATGGAGTGGAGAAGACATATCAAAGAATAATAAAACGCTACTATTGGCCTGGAATGAAGAAAATTATCTCTGACCATGTAAGTAAATGTCTTGAGTGCCAACGCTATAAAGTCTCTAACCTCAAACCCGCTGGTCTCCTACAAACCCCTGTTCAGTCCCAGAGGTTTGAAGTGCTATCTATTGATTTATTTGGGCCTTTGCCCCTCTCTCCTCAAGGTTATACATGGATTCTGGTAGTGGAAGACACTGCTAGTCGTTGGGTAGAATTATTCCCGCTAGAATCTGCTACTGCCGCTGCCTGCGCCAAGTGTTTCATAGACAACATAATCTTACGATACGGAATCCCTCGTCGAGTCATCAGTGACAACGGTACTCAGTTCGTGAGTGCGGTAATGCAGCAAGTGGCGCATTGTTTCGGGTACCAACAGAACCTTATACCTGTATACCACCCGGAAGCTAACCCCGTCGAACGAAAGAATAGAGACATTAAAACTCAGTTAGCTATTCTAACAAATAATGACCATTCGTCTTGGTCTGAAAAGTTACCCGCTATACGGTTCGCGATGAACACTGTGAAGTGCGACTCAACCGGTTTTACTCCTGCGTACCTCACGTTCGGTCGCGAGTTACGAACTCCTGATGATGCAAATCGTGATTTTCGAAGCATCATAGCCAAGGACAACTTCGTGCCACAAATCACGCCCTATCTACTAACTTTGAGTAAAGCTCTTAGTGAAGCCCGCGAGACACATGAACAATCTCAAGATAGACGTAAGAAGTATAAAGACTGCCACCGCCGCTCGGTTTCGTTCGAAGTAGGTGATATTGTGCTAGTCGATTCGCATACACTAAGTGACGCGTCTAAGTCGATAACTTCGAAGTTCGCGCCGCGTCGCGACGGACCCTACAAGGTGACCAAAATGCTGTCCCCTACAACCTATGAAGTTTCACACATCGACACTCCAGATGTTCCTGCTGGGAAATATCATGTCTCAGCCTTGACGCCTTTCCATGCCGATCCAGAAGATCCGTGCCCTGCTCCAGTTCAACCTCTCCGTAGAAGAGGTCGTCCAGTGAAATCCTCAGAAGCCGACCCTCCTGCTCCACTGGTCTCCTGCCAAGAGTCTTTGACCCTTGGGTTAGACGATAGCGAAATGAGCCCCCATGTTGGAGATGACCTTGCTCATATTGAAGCTGAACCTGCACCTGACCATATTGCCAGACGTAGACAACCCCGACCAAAACGTTGTCATTGCTGTCCTGTAGAGCTCTATTCCTGCTTAGACTCTGTTGCCCCACCCGCGAGTCGCCAGGGTGGTGCAAAGGGGGAGGATGTAACAGCCACACCGCTCCGTGGCTGAATACCACCAAGTAACCATGACAGTGTCCACCGAGAGTGAACGGTGACAAGAGACAGATAGATATGTTTGTTGTAAGATCGAGGTTAAAAATTGTAACACATGGTTTTCTTTTTAATAAAATCGTGTAAATCAATATTCACAGTCATTACCTAACTATTTTTACTAATACCCACATCACACTACATGATTTATCATGTGATTTGTCATATTATGATTTGGTCATGGAGTGAAATTTACATGTTTACACTGTGTGATTTGTATATGATTTTGTCCTAAGCATTGTCATGCGGTTTGTCATAGCTCGTCAAAGGAGAATAGGACGGTAGCTATTCCGCATGATAAAATCATATTATTCTCGGTAATATCTCTTCATGTAATACCGGTAACACCAACATATTTAAATATCACGCCTTATTCTTATGTCATTATGATTTATGAAAGACATTCACGCAATTGTGTATCCAAACGTTTCATAAATTTATAAGAGGTTCGACTTGATATAAAAGTTTCATTTTCATACAACAGTTTATAAATCTACTAGTTATTACCAGAGAACTACGAACGCAGAGAAGCGACACTCCTTTGATCTTGCGTGGGCAAGCCGCCAATGAGTGAAAATGACAGGAAAGCAACCAGCTAACTAATAGTCAGTGGGCATATCACACAATATAAATTCTTAAATAAAATTGAGCATTTATGTTGACTTTCAATAAATATGAAATATCCATTGTGTTTATCGTATTATATTGAAATTTGGAAGGTACTGCGTCATGCACCAATGTTTTCCTTTTATTTTTTTTTGACAATAAGATTATCTTCAAAATGTAGTTCACAAATCCTATAACTATTATAAAGTATATCCATTTTTAACAATAAATCTTCTCGTCTGCAAGCTTCTATCCACATTTTGGCACTACAAATTTTTAACAGAACAAATTTTAAACAAAGAACTTTTTGTATTTATAAATAATACTTCATTACTTACAACTATAAGAGTATTAGTATATTCTAAGTATATTGTAAGTAATGAAGTATTTAACTTTTGTCAATATCTCATCTTAATAAATTTACAGTTTTCTCCTGATTAAGTCACAAAATTGTCACTAAATATTGAGATATACAACAAATAAAGTTTTAATATTTTTTATTTGTAATTCCCATTTAAATTTATTCCTAATATTTGTGTACTCCGATCCATATATTTGATCTTTGTTATTTATATTTAACGAATTAAACATTGACAGACAACTTTTGTATATAGCAAAAAGTAGATGAGTATTTAGTTTTTTCATAATTTAATGTAAGTTTGTTTATTTGCAACCATGTTTTTTTTTTGTTCGTTCACAAGTCTTGTTCTGTTGTAATTTTAAGATTTTCCCAATTATCGGTCTAATTATGTTTTCAACAATTTTTAGTATGATCATTTTAGGAATTTCTTTGTTTCGTTTAAATCAAATATTCTCGTGTATAAAACCCTCTATATATTTTTATTTCCTAAAAATACTATATTCGTATTGTCTGCGAGCGATTTCACACCAGTAGGCCATCTGTTGAATTTTTGACCTGAGCCTTCGGAGACAATAAATTTAATGTTTTTATTTTGAACTATCCCTTGGCAGACCAAAGTTTATTTTTTAATCAGTCACGTAAGCCGGACCGTCGACGTCGGTTTACTGATCGAAAGTCAAATTAATACTATTATGTAATAACTAATAATAATTACAAAGCAATAGTAATTCCCTGTTATTATTCTTAGGAAATCTAAATAAACTTATTCCTTTTCCTTTCACAGATGAACATCCGCGAAACGCACAACAACACCAGAAGACATTTTAAATACATTAAACTATAAACTATAACTATAAACTTATATATTTAACTTATATATTTTAACTATAACTATAAACTTATAAACTTTTAACTACTAAGTAAATTAGATAAATGGTCAAATGCATTTGTATAGTCGAGTATTTACCACAGGTGCCTACGGACTATCGTAAACAACCAGAGTTGAAGAAAACGCACGTGTTTTTGACATGGAAGCAACCAGGTTCGGGCATGCGTATACAGAAACGGTACACGGATTTCGGGGCTCGTGTCGCTTCTCTGTGTTCGTAGTTCTCTGTTATTACCTATACTGTGTCTAATATCTATATGACCAGAAACAAAAAGACAAATCAACATAACCTCATTATCACTCATATCATGTCACAACTTATTATTCAGTTATATTTTTTTAAAAATCATAGAAACAAGGAATCATAACAAATCTCTGATATTATCATGTGATAAATTATGTAGTGTAAAGTCGAATTTAGCAGACACATTACAAAGTTGCCAAAAACAATTGACCTTAGACTTTGTGAAGATCGACTCCAACTCAGTGACCAAGTACGTGATTAAATACACGGCTAACTAACACGGACAACTGCTAGGACTGGAGAGAAAAATTCTGCATAAAATAAATTACAAACGATACTACTACCCCTCCGCCCTCTTACATCAACTATCGAACATCCAACCCTTAAATGAGAGGGTCTTCTCACTAAGTAGGAGTTATACGATTAAAACCATCAGAGACCAAAACTTCAGAGCCCAAAATATAATCAAAACTACCTGCTCATCCTTTGGCAATGTATTCATCAGACAGCCCAGAAGAAAACTACCCTTCCTTCCGACAAAACTGCTGGCTTCAGTCAACAACAAACTTCCTGATGAATACATGGACCTCCTGGAGGCAACTCCACTTTATTGTCGCAACTAACTTAATAGCTTACTTCGAGCTCTGCCTCAGACAGAGAGAGAATGTTTTTTTGTGGTTTCCCGATCCCCTTGCACAATTATATCTCGTCTTAGGGAGTATACACACGCAGCTGCCCTCAATGCGACAGCAAAATTAATTTTACAATGATTATACATTTAAATTCAGTCATATATCACTCATAATCACAAAAAAATAATTTCTGAAAAGAACGGTTTTAGCACCAATCCTTTCCTTTCTGACTACCCTGGAAAGCTACATCCTCCGCAGGAATCTATATCCACCGAGTCAATACCACTAGTTAGACACATCGACGCCAGTGTCAAACCGCACAAAGCGAACCACGTCCTGAAGAGATAAAAGACACCTAAAAAGGATACACACATACACCCAACGAAAGAAACAACCAAAACAGAGTAAAGGTCGATTCAGACACATCAGTCACGTCTCGTCACAGTGATTGCGCCGAATCGAACAATCCGTCATACAAAATATTCTTTAATACAAATATGGCGCCGGCATTCACACTCATCAGTTGACGAACAGTTTGCCAGCTGTCAGATATTTGATAGTTCTGTGACCAAACAGGACCGGTTCGGTACCGTGACTGTGACGTGACTGATGTGTCTGAATCGACCTTAAGTGTACACCTACATTGGAACCGTATTTCTCCCGATCCGATATCTGGCGACGTCGGCCGATGTCGGATTAAAAACAAACTCAAGGTATTAAATCAGAGTGCCTATACTGCTACGTCGTGGAAGCAGTATAGGCACTATGATTTAATACCATGAGTTTGTTTTCAATCCGACGTCGGCCGACGTCGCCCGATATCGGATCGGGAGGAATACGGTTCCAATGTAGGTGTCCACTAAAACACATCAACGAAGTAGCTGTGATAGCAATGTTTGTGTAAACTTCTGTTAGGATTATATAAAAACAAAATAAAAGTCACAAAATGTCATTATTTTTGCAACTAATAAATCAATAAAAAAAACACAGGGTCATGCAAATTAAACAAAGTAAAACACACTTTTAATTACCCTTTTTTCGCCACCCCTAATAAATTATCTGAAATGTACATTTTAAAATTGTAATTATTATTTACGATATAAAATAGGTAAATTTTATTGAATCGTATGGTTTGAGTAAATCGTTTTAAAGTTAATATTATTCTTAAAAAAAAATTCGACAAAATATGAAAAATACCTAATGATCAATCAATATGATTCATTATGATTTCAAACTAAGTACAGTTTAATATATAAATATATATATATATATATATATATATATATATATATATATATTTGATGCAAATCACACATATTATATCTTTATAATGTTTGTAAATATGTACTTTTAGAAACCTGTATAATTTATAATGAGTTAATGAGTTTTTTAATTGATTATTTTTTAAAGCAATTTGTAGAGTTAAAATATTGTAAATTCTTGTTTCAAGTTCCATCTTAATAGTTTTCTACTCTAAAGCATAGACTAAACCAAAAACGTAAAACTCTATAGGTGTGTAGTTTACCCCTATACCTTTTTTTATTCGATTTTACATTTTTTTCAAGTTCAAATGTATTTTTTTGTAAACTCACCTTACAGCACTTTTTGGGATCGAACCATACAGTAATACACTAAGACCTCTGTAGAGACCGAAGAATCCATGACCTTTAACAGTTTTCTTTACACAGTCTGCGATACCATTGTATTTCTTTTTATCTCCTTTTTCGTCTAACTGGAGCTGCGTCTTAACATATTCAGTCGGAAATGTGATACAAATTTCGATACCACCAGTTATACCCCCTAAAAAGAAACCAGACATTAAAAAACAAGTGTCGTTATTGTTATTGTTTATTATTTGTACATGGAAGAAAACAGTATTTTCTACTAAAAGAACAATTTCCGATACCATTTTATTATATTGTTTTTTGTACTAGCTTATAATATTCTGGAACCGTGTACCAAGTTATACAGATTTAGTAGATGGGTACCAGATATTTTTAAGTTACTTGGTAGTCTCAAAAGAGTGTTTGTCGACTGCGGTCTAGTACCTCACATTCATGAAAAATATTGCTGGCTGTTTCAGGTTCCCTGCTACAGACTCTGCAGCTTAAACCTCATTGTATGCAGGTGTCCCCTGACTGGCGCATTTCAGTAAGGCAGCCTGTTATGATTCAGAGCTGATTTCTACTTGTTTTCTGCAGTATTTCAGCCCTGTTACTCTTCAGCCTTATTATTTTGCCATGTTTTGTCATGTTCTCGAGCGGGCATAGTTTCCCAATGAGAGTAATGTTGTGTTCGGATCCATGCTTTTTTCCAGTCGTGGACAGTGCTTTTTGGCACTCATAATGTTGGCTTTGGACCGAAGTATTTTTCAGCTAATCTCAAACCCATACCAATGCCACAATGTTATATTCCATTTGTCTATCGAGTTCTCTTGGTATTCCACACACAATCCATTGCTGGAATACCAAAGTATATTCTCCTAATGAGATCGAAATATTTACATTTTTACCACTACTGCAGATTCCTACACTGTCTCTTCTGTAGTTGTAGTCCCGTCTGTGTATCACATATAACTCTGCCGCTGGGTTGTGTGTTTCCTGTGTCCCATTCTTCTCATGGATAAATATCCACCTGGAAAGATAGTTTAGCAATTTACCAATATTTACCAATTCTGTGATTTCGGGAGCTTATAATATAACACGGTATATATTTTTATTTAATATTGTAATAAATGAATATTCTTCCAAAATTAAGTAATGGACCATGTTTCTACGCATTAAGATAGTTTGAATCCTATTTTGACATTCAACTGACATAATTTATTAGCTGTATTTAATAAAGTTATTACCATGGTACTGTTAGTGCCAGCTGCAACGTTCCATCATTATACAGAATATTAGCAATTGATTAGATGAAGATTATTACCTGCTATAATTCCTTTAAGACCAATACTTCCGCCTCCAACAGGAGCAGCTGCACCATAGTCCTTTAGCCACGGCCTCTTGAAGGGATATGTAAATGTTGTGGGAGTTGATGGACTCATGTTGAATTTAATACTTTACAATTTCACCTAAAATAAGAAAATCCTGGTTATTACAGAATATTCTAGCCTCTACTGTATTGTAAACCACTTTGTCTTATACATACTTATTGCTAAACAAAAATATCAGATTACTACAATGATATCAGAAATCAATAAACGTAAGCCACCTCCACAATACAGCAACTTTATGTGATTTAAAATATGCATACACGCTGGAAAATTCTGAAAAAGCGATAAAGCCGGGCAAAAGATACAAAGAAGTGTAAAAAAGTGAGTAACAAACGGGAAAATCGGAAAATCTTCAGACACTGATAAATTAATGGACAAAATAATACCATTGTCGTGTTCCGTGTTAATCTTCTTCTTCCTATGCCGTCCCCATTAACGGAGGTTGGCGACCCTCGAAGGTTTCTCTGTCTTTTGCAACGCGATGTCTTCCTCTTTCTACCTATTCCCTTTTTGCCATCCACCCTACCCTGCATGATAACCTGCAGAAGACTATATTTATCATTTCTCAGTATGTGTCCAAGGTATGCAGTCTTGCGTACTTTTATTGTTCTTAACAATTTTTTGTCTCGACCCATCCTTCTCAGCACTTCCTCATTGGTGGCCCTGGCAGTCCATGGAATTCTCAACATTATCCGGTATATCCAAAGTTCAAAGGCTTCAAGCTTCTTAACTATTTGGGCTTTTAACGTCCATGTTTCTACCCCGTACAGTAGTTGGGACCAGACGTAACATTCAACAAACCTCAGTCTCAGCGCAGTATTCAGATTTGTGTCACAGAACAATTGCTTGAATTTTAAGAACGCTGCCCTTGTCATTTCTATTCGTACTCTGATCTCTTGGTCTGGATCTAATTCTGTGTTGATGTAAGCTCCCAGATATTTATATTTTGTCTTCTGTATATTTGCTGTCCACCAATGGTTAGTTGTTCATTATGTATTGGACTCCTTGATACTGTCATAAATTTGGTCTTATCTTTGTTAATGTCAAGTCCCATTTGAATGCATTCACTATTTATTGCGTCTAGTAAAGTTTAGAGTTGTTAATAGAGAAACTTAAAATTTTCATTTCTAAAATGTAAAGAAAGTAAGCAAAAGGTTCCAATTTAAGCTAAAAAATTTGATGAGTGAAGTACAATACACAGAACAGAAATAAGTAGAATAACAGATTCTACGTAAAATATCTTCCAAATATTTCTTAACCAAATTACTAAACTCTCATAGAAACTTTATAAATCAATAAATATAAAAATGTAAATCTATATGTTGGTTCAAGACCAGCTGTATTGTCTCATTTTTGTTTTCCACCCCATATAAACTTTAAATTTGGTGTCTACTTAAAAATTCGAAAGAGAGTTATTTATAAACATTCGAATTGCACCTAAGAATCTTCGAACGGGGATAAACAAACTGTAAATGTTCATTTACACAACCCAAATTGCTATAGGTAAATCGCGTCATTCTTTTTAAATCGTTTTCTCCGTGAATCTCTTAAGTTCCTATTTGACGCTTTTAGAACTGCGTCTCAAAATATGCAAAATACTTTTTGTTTACATTGCCAGATGCCTCTAAGCAAATCGCCTCCATAGGTCTAACGTGATTGTTACATTAAGGTCGATGACATCAGTCACGTCTCGTCACAGTCCTGGCGCCGAACCGAACAATCCGTCATACAAAATAGAAATATGGCGCCGGCATTCACATTCATCAGGCGACGAACAGTTTCCTACTGTCAAATAATTAATAGTTCTGTGACCAAACAGGACCGGTTCGGCGCCGAGACTGTGACGGGACTGATGTGTCTGAATCGACCTTTACTATGACAAACAAGAAGAGACTCGTTTCAGCTCCAATATTTTCCATATTTTACTATGCATGCGAGACATGGGCAGTCAAAGAATCAGATAACGATGTATAGAGATTCTTGAAATGGACATGGAGACGACTGCTTCAAATTCAATGGACGGTTCGCCGTATGAATATCTCGGTTCTAGATGGAATTAAACCCAAACTCATTGTCTTTTTAGTGCTGTTTCTTGTTCTTCTTCATGTACCATGTCCTTTCAGAACGTTGGTTACCATCATAGCTATCTTACTTTTATTCACTGCCACTCTAAATAGCATGCTTGTATCAACACCATACCAATCTCGCCAGTTCTTCAACAATGAGGTTCTTCTTCGTCCTGGACTGCGTTTGCTTGGTATTTTTCCTTGAATGATATTTTGTAGCAACCTATATTTGGGACCTCTCATTACATGTCCGAAATACTCCAGCTTTCTCTGTTTGATGCTTTTTATGATCTTAGTAGTCTTGCTAAGACGTTTTAGTATTGTAGAGTTGCGAATCTTCTCCACCCAGGAAATTTTGAAAATTCTTCTATAGCACCACATTTCGAAAGAAATTTCGAATTTAGATCGATTTTATTCACAGTCCAGAACTCAACACCATAAAGTAAGACCGAAAACACGTAGCAGCGATGTAGGCATATTCTCGATGCCAATTTTAGGTCTCTGGTACATAACACCTTGGACATCCTTCTACAAGCAGCTCTAGCCTGCTTTATCCTAGATCTAATTTCGCCGTGACTTTCTACGTTACAATTTTAATTGCTGTCCAAGGTAAACGATTTTATCAACTTGCTCAAGTTTGGTATTATTTACATATAAAGACGGTTTTATATGCTGTTGTTTACGTATTACAAGTATTTTGGTTTTCCGTATGTTCAGATGCAGACCTCTCCCTACAACTCTCAACGACACTATCAAGTAGTGTTTGCAGATATCTTTCAGATTAAATGTTGAAAATCAGGGGTGACAAGAGGCATCCTTGCCGTACTCCTCTTTTAATATTGAAAGCCTGTGATTCCTCACCATCTACTAAAACTGATGTTGTTTGATTCCAATATAAATTTGCAATTATTCGAACATCTCTGCCGTATAAGGCAATGTCTTTTAGAGCTTCGATCAATATAGAGTGCTTAACACCATCAAATGCCTCTCGAAAGTCAATAAAACAACAGTATATGTCTACAGATATATCTCGACATCTTTGAGCAAGTATGTTCGTTCCAAACAATGCCTCTCTCGTTCCAAACCCGTGACGGAAACCAAACTGAGTGTCATCCAGGTATTCCTCGCATTTATTATAGATACGACTATATTACCTTCAGAAAAATTTTCAATAAGTGGTTTAACAAACTGATGGTTCTATAATCAGCACAGGTTTTTGCTGTTGTTTTCTTAGGTAGAGCTATAAAGAGTGAATTAGACCAACCATTTGGTAGTTGTCCGCTGGTATAAATGGTATTGAAATACGAAGTTATAGCCTCTAAAACGTTGCTACCATTTGTAAGCTTGTATATTTCAGTTGGAATTTCATCGGGACCAGTCTCTGTTTACTCTAGAATTTTAAAGTTGTTTGGTCATATCCATCAAAAGCCTAAGACTAAACTTCTCCTTTGGTTAATTATTATATTAGTCACAGTTCTACCCAACTTCTAAGAAAACTAGTCATATAATCTAGTAATAGTTTAATGTTATTTTAAGTAAAAGCATCAAAAAGTCTAAGAAACAACACTATTATTCCATTTTTTTTTTCAATAAAAAATTAATCATTTTCTTGTTAATAAATACCCGTCGATTTGAAAACTTGTTCTCTACTGATCAAAATATACCATGAAAATTGATCTATCAATTGCACTGTTTTATTGAGGCAAATGTGACAGCGACTCAAATTAGTACGATTAATTGCTTCAAATTGTAAAAAAAAGTACTTCAAATTTTATCGATAGTCTGTATTTACTTGAAAATGTTACTAAAACAAGATCATTAAATGCAAAGATAGTCATGAAGCGTAATCATGTAAGACATGTTTAAACGGTAAGTGCTGTGAGTATTACTATATGTTACCAAACTTTGAGGAATAGACAACATGAAGCTGGAATGCACGCCAGACGTCCATTGGGGGTTACCAGGTTACGTCATGGAACTCTTGGGCTCAGATTAAGGTGGACACAACAACCCTGATTTAAGAAGAGTGAGAGTTTGAAGTGGACCTGGTCGATAAGAGAGACAGGCATGTACAGGGTGTTCGTCCTTTTAGTGTTCTACGAGTCATGATGTGGACTGTAATAATTTTTCATCGAACTGTTCTCGTTTTTGTGGAAGACACTTTGAATCAATATTAATATACTGGTCGTATCTTGTTGATTCCTGTTGTTCATACATTTACCATTGCTGCAGGTCCTGATTTGCATCACATGTAGAATATTGCAAGGCAGCCACATTAAGAGATTGGTTTCGTCATGAGGATATTACAATTTTACCTTGTCAAGCACAATCGCCAGAGCTTAATAACATCAAGCACGTATGTGATTTGCTTCAGCGATGGATTACTCCTAATCTGCACAATGTTCATAGTAGGCAAGGTCTTCAAGATCTTCTTATACAGGAATGTATCCTATTGCCTAAAAACGAAATTGATAATTTCAATTTAAACATGCCAAGGACGTGTGAAGCTGTAATTAATGCTCCTGAAGGAAACAAAGATTATTAAACACATTTGTTGTTAGATTTTTCTATTCTTTATTGACTTTTATGTTAAAAATTTTTATTCAATTTGTGCACTTCTTAACTAGATGAGTTAATTACTGATTAATTAGGCATTATAAGGATATATCACTTTTTAAAATCCGATTAAAATTGATGTATTTATTAACAAAAAACTTTGTGTTCCTTAGACATTTTTGATGTGTTCATAATGGTAAATTTGATTATTGAAATTGTATTAAAGTAAATAAAAAACACACAAAATATTATATAATAAAGCATGACCTACTGAACACGTTAATATCGCCAAAAAATGTATGTACTTCAATGTGACCCTCTTTATTTAGTTAGATAACAAATTAAAAAGCTAAATGAAAAAGGATATTAATAACCTTTCGAGATATAAATTCATTGTTTGTATATCCTATAGTAAACTGGGATTATCACGATATACACTAATGCTGTAATCGTTAT